CTTACTGACACCCACCCCTCTATGTGGAGGATGGCTGGGCTTGACAAGCAGAGAAATGGGAGAGGAGATGATTAGGAGCAGTGAAGGGACTGTCATTTAATCAGGGCCTGCTGTGGCCAGTTTTATCATTACCAAGGAACCAGAGACAGTAGAGAGGGGAGAACTGGGCTGTAAAGTATGGGAATGCTGAGATTTTTTTGCCCAGTGCTGCCTTGTACCTTCTAGAACGTCAAGTTCAGCTACACTCAAACCTCTGAAAAAAACAGGAAACAGTTAAAGTTTGTATTGCAAGGGTGGTGTGTACCTTAGCTCTATTCTCTTCAAACAGTGCTCCAACATGCCAAAACACACTAGTGCTCTACCATCACAGGTGCTATAGAACGCATGGGAAACAGAGCACATGAGCACTAAAGAACAAAGTCCAAGCTCTCCTCTTTGTCAAGGCAAAAACATTGGTTTAAGTCAGGTGGATCAAACAGGAGCTACGTACAACTAGCCTATAAAAATACTGAGCCAACTCCACACAAGCCACCCCAGACTTGCATTGGCACCCCCCCTTTCATCCTTGCCCTGGGGAGTCCTTCAAAACATTGCCTGCTCTTACCCCCTCACTACACCCGAGTCCAGTCATGTATGCTACCAGACTGCCAACAATCCCCATGACAAGAATTATACTTGTGCACTGATGGCCTACTCCATTCAGCACTGAAAGGAAGCACACTTGTTCCCTCAACGTACACATGCACCTCTCCTCATAACACAGTGACAACTCTTCCAACAAATCCTTCCACCATTCAATACAGCTACACCTAATTTAAGTATCGTGTGTGAAACAGAATTACTAAGTGATATTAAGTGAATTACCTTTAAACCCCTGGAGGAAAATAGAAATCTGTAATATGTGCCAACATTTCAGTTTTTTAAAAAGGTCAGTTGTTACTATGACAAGAATCATAAAATATCAGGGTTGGAAGGGACCTCAGGAGGTCATCTAGTCCAACCCCCTGCTCAAAGCAGGACCAATCCCCAGACCACTAAATGGCCCCCTCAAGGATTGAACTCAAAACCCTGGGTTTAGTAGGCCAATGCTCAAACCACTGAGCTACCCCTCCCCCAAAGCTCTGCATCGCTCCCACACTGGGAGTCGAACCCAGGCCGCCTGGGTGAAAGCCAGGAACCCTGTATCAGAGGGGTAGCTGTGTTTGTTGCTTTTTACAGATCCAGACTGAGTGTCCTGTAGCACCTTATAGACTAACAGACATACTGGAGCATAAGCTTTCGTGGGTGAATGGTGACGAAGTGGGTATTCACCCACGAAAGCTTATGCTCCAATATGTCTGTTAGTCTATAAGGTACTACAGGACTCTGTCGCTTATGACATGAATAGTAAGTTTAAAAATACACTTATTTTGCAATTTTTTTTAAAAGCAAGTTATCCATTTTATACTAGAATTTAATGGTCAAGCTATTCCTGCTCCAGGATTGTGATCCATTCATTCCTGTGGAATACAGACATTTGATATGGTTCAGTGTCTCTAGTTGCATAATGTATGTATTTCCCTCAGAGGGAGAGAAGACTAGATGATCACAATGGTCTCTTCTAGTCTTAAGTATCTATACTTAAGTGAATGCAGCTGGAATGCATACAGGTAAGTGCTACGATTCAAATCTGAACACAACACAAATAATGGTGTCTTCTTATAATCCTTCATACTTACTTATGCCATCACCCTTACTGACCCACTCCAGGTGGCCATTGCCAGTTCCAATGGATAGAATTCAGGTTGTGTTGCAGGGTTGAAAAAGGCCCCAATTTCAGAGACTAGGTGCTCAGCCTGGTTACATAACCAGCCCTCTCCATTAAAGAATGCATTGCTATTTTAGTCTGTAAATAAATATTGAAGTAGCAAAGGTATAATCATTTGTCTGTCAACATTAACCACTTCAATGCAGGTGCATTTGACAGAACCACCAAACATCAGGAGCCTGTTTATTCTCCCATAGATGCAAAGACCAGAAGGGGGAACCTATTATGATCTAGTCTGACCACCTGTGTAACACAAGCCATAGAACTTCCCCAAAATAATACTTAGTGTATCTTTTAGAAAAGCATCCCATCTTGATTTAAAAATTGTTAGTGATGTCGACTCCTCCACAACCCTTGGTAAATTGTTCCAATGGTTAATTACTCTCACCATTAAAAATGTATGCCTTATTTCCAGTCTGAATTTGTCTATTTCCAACTTCCAGCCATTATATCATGTCATGCCACAGTAACCTGCAAGTTTTCAAAGAAAATATTTAAGCAAATATTAACACACATCTGTAAGCTACAAAGGTTTTCAATAGCATTTCAAGAGTTAGGACTTCTATTGTAGAGATTATGGATCCTAGGAGCCTTTTACAATAGCATTCGGCAAGCTCTGACCGACAGGATTCTTGGTATAACCCTCTTTGTCTGTGACTATTTAAAGAGGAAGTTCATACCGGTAGGGAATTGTATGGGGTAAATTCTTGCAGATATTGCTAAGATTCTCTACAGATTTTGTTGCCCATGACTATAAAACTGGAGCCATTATTCACAGACTCATTGAGGGGAGGGATAGCTCAGTGGTTTGAGCATTGGCCTGCTAAACCCAGGGTTGAGAATTCAATCCTTGAGGGGGCCATTTAGGGATTTGGGGATTGGGCCTGCTTTGAGCAGGGGGTTGGACTACATGACCTCCTGAGGTCCCTTCCAACCCTGATATTCTGAGTGTTTAGACATTAGTGCTGAACATTCAGCACTAATCTTTCATCTGAAGTCAAGTTTTGTGGTGTAGATTTGTGGGGTGTAAAGCAAATTAAACTGCTGAGCTAGTGTAGTTAGTGGCACCCATAAAGCATAGTTATTGATAAGTGTCTTGTAGAAGATAGTAGCATCAATAGTGAGCGTGCTACGGAAATGAAAGATGGAATTCATTCAGTGGTCACAGTTATTGCTGTTCCATTAGTTTAATCTATACTTTTGATAGTTTTCTGGATTTGAAATAAATGTAGCATCCACTTTAAATTAGTATACAAAATTTTATGTATGGATACCAAAAGACAAAGTAGCATGCACACAATTTTCAAACAAGAGATAGTTGAGTATTTTATATTGACTAACATACAATTTCACATCCTTGAAAGGTAAAAAGTCATACAGCTATAACAAGCATTTTTCATTCAGTATTGCCAAAAATTGCAATAGGAAGTAGGCACATCTTGTTTGTAAGAAAAAAGTGTCCATTTCTTACAACATACAATGGTAATCAACTGACAGTAAATATTTTATTTCAATGTCAAGACATATATGGAAAATGGTCTCTGAAATATTGCACCACAAAGATGGACTTTTACCACCTTACCAGTGTAAGTTACATTAAACGTGGACAAAGATTTATCCACATCTTATGAACAATTACAATAAAAAAAGCAAGAATATTTGAGGGGCCTCTCCATGTATAGCAAGCTTTTGGGGGAGGGGGGGGGGAAGAATCTAAAAAGCAGTTTTCAGTATTCCCTTTGCAATTATTAAAGATATAGTTGAGCAAGATCTCCCCAAACACAGCCCCACTATGTCTTGCAGTGAAATTTGTTTTGATAGCCTATTGCCAGATACTAATGCAACATTTTAAGAAAGTCAGCTTTATGTCTTCATTGCAAGAGCAATAAGGTCTGATGAAGAAAGTAGTTTAAACTGTCAGAGGTAAAGTTATGAAACAGATGAATGAATCTGGAATCAAATAGGTTAAATAGTCTCAATTCTGTCATTGCCCCGTATTTAAAAAAAAATCAATTCAACGAGAAAGCCTTGGGCCATCAAAACTGACTTATCATACCAATAAAATTTACTTTATTTAAAACTATGCATTCTGCCAGAAATATATGTTAAACTTCATACACACCAAGACAAAGTAAAAACATGGTCGCCTTAAAGCACAAAAGAGCTGGAAAAGTATAAAAAAATTTAAAGCTATATGCACTTTGACATTTTACATGTGTGTTCCGCATTACGAAGTATTTGCAAACTAGGAACAGCTACATATGCAAAAAAGACAGTTTAAGTGTTCCCAAATGAGGAAATACTGCATTAAAAACTGTGCGTTTGTTATGCTATTTGTACAAGTGCAATATTTAACAATTTCAAAATAAAACAGCATAGCTAAAAGGGATCACAATAATTTATTGAATAATTGTATCAGAATTAATTCTGACAAGACTAACATTTTAAAAAGTAGAATTTATGATTGGTCCCCCATGCTAACATCTAAATTACATCAGCAGTATAAACCCAAAGCATCATCTTTAAACAAAAATACAGCCTTCTGTTTTGAAATACAGTAGTGTAATCCTGCTTTATAAGGACCATGTGTGACACTTCTCTGAAGACAGGGGGACAAGAATTGAAGTTGAAACTTGTACCCAGTTACTGGATAGACCATGCAACTTCCAAATTCATAATGCTAACACACAGCAAATCCTGGGGCTTAAGCAGCTGCAGGTTTCTTCAAACTCAGTGCATATTAGAAACACTTATGGATGAACTTCTAAAGTCAGATAACCTAGATTATTGTACTACTCTATGCAAGGATAAACTATTCTTACTACATCTGTATTTAGCAGTTCACTGCGGGTGAATCCTGGACAAATTGAACTCACTGGCAAAACTCCCATTAACTTCAGTGTAGTCAAGATTTCACTCTATATGTTTGGGCTCTCTCAATTATAAAGTGGTATTGTAAAGAAAAACGGGGCGGAGGGGGGGAAACCTAGTGGACTGCATTTTGAAGTTAACATACAACTCAACTGGAAGATTAAACATATTTTCTGGCATACACAAATTGCTTTAAATTTGTATTTATCATAGCTAAAGGAGCAAAAGTATGTCCAACTACAAATAGAGAAACATTTAAAATGTTTTCATTATGTGCATATGCTAGGATTTCTCTATTAATTTTTTTTTTAAAAAATCAAATAAATCAAATTTCTTTCTGAAAAACTGAAACAGGTCTGATAAATTTAGAAGCCTTAAACTATTCATGCCAATTATGTCAACATTTGTGATCAAGTGTTAAAAGTTCATTGGAATACTAACACTCAAATTTATGTGCTTTTACGAGCATTGATCAGTTGTATATTTCAGTTTAAATATGACTGATCAATTGCACTGTTAACTTTAGAATCATTTAATTAAAAACAACAAGATGTGCTATAAAAATGATTTGGGCGTCCTAATCTAGATAAATAGCTCCAACTGCAAAATGAATTCTATACAGTCCTATAGCTGGCCCAGCATGTGATATAAAGAACACTGATCATTTAAGAATAAACTCAGTGCAAGATTCTGGAAAAGCACACACAGGGCTAAGGAACAGAATCCTCAGCCTGTAGCAGCATGCCAGGAGCTGCTCCACTGCTATTACTCTAAGATGGGCTAGTGAATCTGTACAGTTCATGAACCCACTGAAAGCCTTTCCTCTTGTGGAATACTGTTCCATGGTGCAGAGGAGACTGAAGAATCTCCTTTCCATGAGCCTTCTCAAACCTTGTGGTATGGGACCACAATTGTTTCACTGACCTTAATATAGCTCACAGGATTTCATCTTCAGTGCTTACTTAGTATTCAAATGCATAAGAAATGCTGACGGTTTGAACTCTCCAACATATACACAATCAAAATCTATCAAAGTTATTAAAAAAGTAGTAAGTTATGATTTGCTTTAAAATATTCACCCAAACGAGCTTGACTATTTACTGCCAATTATAAGTGGCATGAACACCACAGCAGCTTGAACATGTTACTGCTGTTAGACAACTGAATAGTATACTGAAACTGGGACACAATTGCAGATTGTGCCCAACAAGTCGCTTTCATAGGCCACTGGGCTAGCAGGTGACCATTTACCTACACTGCAACAAAATTATCGCCAGCATAAAGACAAATAAAACAGTCCTTATGGTTAACAGTAATGTTCTATGAAGCCTAATGTGCACTCGGTGTGAAATGTTAAGAACTGCCCAAAGGGTCTGTAATTTATTGTACCTGTATTATACTATTGAATAGTGGACAATGTAATCATAACTCACTTCAGCTTCAGTGTAGTAGAGGTCTAACTGCTCTTAATCATGTTTCAGTCCTGTGCAAACTGCATTATGTGGCTAGTCTTCAGCGCCTTAGTTAATTGTAACTTGATTATAATAGGAAGCATTTGACTATGATTTAGGCATGCTTATTGCTATAAAAGAAATAAGCCAATCTTTAAAATTATTGTGCAAGTATTTTAATAAGATTTGCACACATCTCAAAAAATTCTATGGTGTGACTCCCTGGTCTTGGCGTTAAGTCAGCTGAAGAAGAGTCAAGTGAAGACGTCACTGATGAGCTAAGGGACACATCTGCAGATTTTCCTTGTGCATCACCATCAGACTCCTTCTGACAAGATCTATAGCTGCTCACAGAACCTGATCTCTGTGGTGTGGTAGTCCCAGATTTTGCTTCAATAATTTCATCTAGGGAAAAAGAAAAAAGAAAAAAAAAAAAAAAAAAAAAAGATGAAACACTTTACAATGGCAAACGAAACAGTCACTAAACTGAGAATTTGAGGTTCTCTCTCCCCTGCCCCCAATTAATACCAAGTCTTTGAAAGGTAATCTTGTTTTCTACTTTTATTTACACAGTATTTGCATGTGTGTTACAAATCAAAATATGTACAGCAGAAGCAGCAAACCCCTGTATTTTTTCACAGGGTTAACAGGTGTTTGACATTCAAGTTAGTCTGAAAGACATTTATGCACAGATTATCAAATTAGCTGAAGAAACCAACAGCAGTAGCCCTCTAGTCCATTCTTCAACTATCATCTGCTCAAAATTAGTTTACAAAGTATGTTTGCATGGAGTTATGGTCTATCTAAACCATGAACTTCTACAATTTTTAAAAATAAGTTTAAATATTTAAATTTTCACACCATTGAACTTGTCCCTCACTTTGTGGTTTTTGACAGACCAGTTTATGAAGTTGAGATTAGAATTCCATAGTAAATATTGTAAATAACCATTTACTCTTGGATCTGGCACACCCACCCCAAAACCCAATTTTTTATTAACAATTCTGTCTGAGATTTTCATCTGCAGTCTTCTGTCACTGGATTTGGGGGGGGGGGGAAGAGAGGGTGGAACTGAAGCAATTGGAAGAGTAACTGTATATTACTTTTGGAATGTCAGACTACTTAGTCTACAAGCCACAGATCAATTTTACAAGTACATAAAAGAGTTAATTTGCATAGGTGTATATGGGATCATTAGGGTATCCGTAGATTAGAAATGCAGCTTTTTTGTGAAGCAAATCCCCAAACCAAAGTTTTTCTGAGAGTTACAACTATAACAGTATGTGTGTTTCAACTAATATTTTACAGCTAGACCACTGTATATTAGTTCACAAAGCCAAGGTATCAAAGTATGGCAGGGTTACTGTACTTGCAGGTCAACACCACCCTTTGACAAAGTCTACCTTCAAAGTTTTGCAGAACCTCTCTTCTGGGCCCTCCTTGTATACCCAATCACTCTACAGCATAAGCTGCCTTTACACAACATATATTCTTCTATGCATCTTGTATGAACCTTATATCCTGCTGTACCATCCTATACGCAAGTGCAGTTCAAGCTGAACTACATATCAGTCGCTCAGCCAGACAGCCTCCTCCAGTTCAAACTTTTCAGTCTGCTGCACCATCTTCCCTCTACCTCTTAGCATAGTCCTATGATCCTGAATAATATTCAAGTTTGCTTTCTATGTGGTCCCCAAATACCCATCATTATAACGAATGTAGCCATATGGAACAAATTCAGAAACGGACCACTTTACCTCTATCCTACCTTAACTCCCAAACATAGAACTAGTTATTTACCACAAACACATTCACTTTACACATACAAGCTGCACATGAGTGTCTCATTCTATATGAGCCTGTCTAGCTTAAGACCTTATCTATTGTAAACAGATTCACTGCACATACTATGTGTCTATTGTTAACTATTTCAGAAGTTTTAGTAACAGCAGACAGAGATGCATCATACATCTGATACATGATGTGGCAGAGTATGGGACAACTTTGCATTCTTAGTTTTGTCAGGCTATCTTCACTAGGAAGTAACGTGTTAACCCGAAGTAAAATCCTAGTGGAGACAAAGCGGTCTGTAGTTAACAGATCCAGGTAAAGACTAGTCTGCCCCATTGTCTTGATCTTGACCTGCCAACTCATGTGAAAACTACAACTGCCTTGTCTTTGCCAAGATTTTACCTCAAACTTAGGTAACAAATTAAGCCCACCCACACTGTTTTTCCTCAGTGAAGACAAGGCCCCAGGTCCTTATGGCCCTCCAAACCACATTTCTAACTGATATTTAAGTGTGAAAGTCCAAATTACACCACTACAGTTTCTTCAATTGTTTATAATTACATTATTCCAATAGTTATGTATGTATTCTCCTTCACGTACCATCAATGCTACGGAAATCCAGTAAGTACGTCCTACTGTCCACCTGGTATAACTGTAAACTCATTTTAGAATAAATACTAGTCACTGGATTCTTCCTTCGAACACGCAAGTAGTATGGATTTACAACCTGGTAAAGGATACAGATGAAATAGTTAATTTCTATTATAATTTTTAAAGAGTGAGTGACAAATGTATACAAAAACAAACCCGCTAAAGTAAGGTATCAATTTAGTGTTTTAAGTGAAACATAACCATATGTCAGAAAGCCTTTTGTGTCCTCACCTTCCATTCATAATCCAATTGTTTGATTGCTCTACAAACTTCTGCCATGATGTCATTTGGTCGACTTTGACTCCGAATTCCTAAATGCCACTTAGCTCTTCTTACACCTTGGTGTTTTGACTTTTGCGGGTTGAGCTCATCAAGCGTGTGGCGTGGCCGCGGTGCTTCAGCTACTAAAAATGGCACTCTTTCAGGATGAGGGCGAGACAAATTGTGATCATCAAGAAAAGAATCTGGTGGGCTTGTTGCCAAATAGAAGTCTTTGGCCTCATTCATTATTCTTCTGTTATCTATAATGAGGTGATAGGCAACTGCTAAGGGGTCTTGATGATTTCGGTTATATAAACAGCTTAGCACCTCCTCTTCTGTGCATTCAAACTTCTCACACACTTCTCTTAAGGCTTCATCATCAATCATGTTTGAGCTATATGATGGGTCTTCAGGAAAGAGATACTTGGGAAGGTCCTGCTTGAACCACTCATGCTCCCTGGATATACAAATAAGTAGTACTGAATTCAGCCACACAGATTTGATGTAAACTTTTAAGGAAAACCAAATAATTAAAAACAAACTTTCATTATTCGTTTTAGTAAAGCATTTTAGTGTTCCTAAAAGGAAAATTGTTGATGTCAGGATAACCCATTATGTACCATTACTAGTAAACCTGAAAGCTCTATTTTGTTTTAGGTCAGGTCAAGACCAGAAAAAGAGGTGTGTTTTTAAAAAAGTGTTAGTACACACCAGTATGTTTTACTTGACATAGGGGGCAGAGGTTCATACACGAGGAACACTGAACTACAAATTGCTTTGTCTACACTAGGATTTTACATTGTATTGGCCACCTTTTTCACCTAGCATAGACATGGCCTTAATATTTCAACTCTATATTATTCTACTTGAACCACACTCCAGTAGGTTGTTTGTCAACTGCTTGATGGCAGTAACAAAAACACAAAACCTCCTTATTTTTGGAATTTTCAGCCTGATTCTAACAATGTCTACTGGTTGCTGGTTATCATGCATTAGGTGTCCCCTTCTCCTCCCAACTATACCTGAATCAATAATTGATTTTTCGATCCATAGGCTTAGCCCCTCAAAAAGGTTTATTTGACCTGAAACAACAAATTTTGGGTTTTTTGTTTTGTGTTTTTTCAGTTTTAAAAAAAGTCCAGCTAAATTCTGAAATAGTCAAAATGTTTTGTTTTGAAATGGTTAAAAAAAACATTGATTTTCAAAAAATGTTTTTCTGCCAAAAGCATTTGTTGAATTTGACCCAAATTCACAAATAGTTCTGGTGCCTTCAAAAATGCATTTTTTGGCAAATTTACTATTAGTCGAAAAAATTCAGTCTGCTCCAATCCCAACAGCCACATAATACTTGTGCATAAGAAAAGGTCCCTAGTCCTGTTATATAGAATAACCTCCTTGATAGGTATTAGGACAGGGATTTGTATATATAACGAAACTGGAATTTTGACATTTTGTTAGTCATTGTTCATTCTAATCTGTATTCAAGAGTCACCTTCCCTCACTGCCTCCAAAGTTAGTAGATTGAACTACCAAGGAAAGGGTAAGAAAAGTCTGTCAGGCTGCAACCCTTTGGTACTGTCTGGTATTAACCAGCATACAAGAACGAAGATTAACAGTTTACATTTCAAAACACAGTAAAAATTAAAATACAGCAGAAACCTTATTTTTCAAAGTTCTCTGATCCATCGGGAAATACAATAAAGAACAGATTTGTCACTTCAGTGCATTGAACTAGCTATATAACTGTCCAGTGATAGGTCATGAAACAAGAATTTTACAGTGACAATTTGTAGTCAAGTTTATGAAAATCTTCATCTAAAAATATGAAAATGTAACAGGGCATTTAATCAAGGAAACCAATAGATTTATTTTGCAATTTTTCCTGTACAAGGAGTGGAAGCATGGTCTTCTGGTTAAAGCACTTGCTTAGGCATCAGATCTAACCCTACCCTGCCACAGTCTTCCCCAGACCCCTTCATCACATCACTTAGCTTCTCTGTATCTTACTTGTTAAAAGAATCTATAGGATTAGTATGTCACCCACCTACCCAATTATTATAAGGCCTAGCATTCATAAAGCACTGACATCTTGTGATGGAAGGTGCAAGAAAAGTATTATATTACACACTAACATTAACACCTATCTTTCTTTATGATTTGTACATCTTTATGTCTTTCTGCCCTGATCCCAATTTTTCGCAGGATCTTTTTTCCCCTCAAGGATCAATACAGACACACCAATTTCTTGAACTCCAACACCTTTTAAGTATATTAGTGATAGAATTCTAGTCATAAGCAGATTTTGCCATTTGGAACCAGAGTTGTCAGATTTCCAAAAGTCAAAACACTTATATGTATTTGTAACAGTAGGTTGTATGGCAAAAGCATTTTTATGAACAATTTCTTAGTTCTGTTGATTTGTACTGGGACCATCACTGTAGCATCTGTGATTAGACATCAATTAGTGTTTTACCTAATGTCTCTGATTGTAGCTCTCTTCATAGGATCCACCTGCAGCATGTGTTTCAGAAGGCTAATCACAGATGGATTCAGATATTGAGGGGTATAAAAGATACCATCACATATCTTCTTAAAAAGCGTTGGCACGTGATCATCATCAAATGGAAGGGTTCCACATAACAGAGCATAGAGAATAACCCCACTGCTCCAAATATCTACTTCTGGACCTGCATATAATCTGGAAAAAATTATCTGTTAATAAATTATAGTAGCATAGTACAATATATATCTTTTTGCAACTTGCTTATATGTTGTAGTAGTTAAAGGGACACAGACAAATTGAGGCCTACCAGCACTGTTCAGGGGAGGCACAGTATGCACACGATTGTGAAACTGAACTCCACCAGACAAGTAGGACATGAATGTATAGAAGAATTCTGCTCTGTCTTTGTGTGAATCACCCATCTATGTAATTTACCATAGTGCTAAATTGAGGGGAAGACCATACTACAGGGACAAGGCAGATCAACGGAAATATATATTTGGCAAATTATATCCAAACCACAAATATCATTGGGGGGGGGGGGGGCGGGAGGCCCGCTGGGAAATTAAGTTCCCATGTTTCCTTGTCCCATTTACTAATAAATCAGATGCCTGGATCACACTCAGCAATAGTAATTACTGCAGTGGAGTGGTAGCTAGTGGCTTGCCCAGAACAGATGACACTAAGGGTATGTTTATCCCGCAATCGGAGGTACAATTTGCAGCTTGTGTAGGTACTGTATACTTGTGCTAGCTTTAATCTAGCTATCTTGTAAAAATAGCAATGAAGATGCAGCAGTGGCATGGGCTTCAGCTTGGACTGTTCAAGCTTGCATAGTCCCCGGAGTACATATTTGCATTGCTAGCAAGCACAGCTGTGTCTTCATTGCTGATTTTTAGCAAGTTAGCTAGATTAAAGCTAGCATGGGTATACCTACACAAGCTGCAAGTCACACATCTGACTGCACTCTACTGTTGACTAACTGTGTTGGAGGATTCAATAGTTACAGGATTGAGCTAAAATAGGGAAAGTGACATTTGGGCCTAACACGCCACAGTAAAAGTTTGCACTAATACCCAACTTTACTGCCTGGAACTTATCTGTTTTTCAGAAAATAAAGTACTTCTTCCAAAGTGTGTACTATGATTCATTAGGCCAGTGGTTCCCAAACTTTTTAATAAGGCAACCCACTGACCGCATTTGGGTTTCTTCTTTTTATGACTCACCAGGATACGTATACCCCCTCAGCCCTGGCAGCGCAACCCTAATTCCAGCCCAATGCGGAGAGGAGGACTGGTGAAGTTGGGGAGTGATCATGCCCCACATTCACCCTGCAGTGGCGGCTCCAATCACATGAGACTGCACCTACCTCCAGGCATTGCAACATGGTGCATGGAGTTGTAGAACCACTCATATTTGGCCAGCTTCCCCCCCATGTCAAAGGGGAAGTCAGGCCAAACCTGAATGGTGCTGCGACCCTGCACCGGAGCAAAAAGATGGGCCCAGCCTTCCAGCACAGGAGCTGCTGCTGCAGGGTGAGTGTGGGGAGAGCTCGCTGTTCATCGCCCCCAGTCCTCTCCTCTGCACCACAACATTTGCCTAGGTCAGGGCCCAGTGATGGATTAATCCAACATTGGACATGGCGACCCATCTGAGACCTTCCTGTGATCCCCTGGTGGGTTGGGACCCACTGTCTGGCAAAACACTGTACTAAATAGACCATTTTGGAAATTCTGGAAAGTGATAGAGCCAGTTTATGATATTCACCGTACATGAATTTTCTAGTTGACAAAACTGCATTTTTACCAAACTGACTTGGGGACAGCATAAACACACTGCTGTTTGGACTACTTGATACAGTACAGTGACACTGAAGGGGCCAATAAAGCTGACTAGGCCACTAATCAATGTAAAGGTAAACTTCAAAAACTAGCAAGGGAGGGAAAGTCAACATTTTTCAACTTTGAGTTTGTGTACTATAATACTGTCTTGTTATCTTTAATATTAAACAACAAGGTGTTTTTCAACTACATGCACACATTTAACAAATATAAGAGATACAACCTTCCTGAAATTACTTCTGGTGCAGCATAGTTAGGGGAACCACAGCTTGTTCTTAAAAACTCTCCATCTGACATCATATTTGAAAGACCTGAAAGTGTACAAAAGCAGCTACTAAAATATTCAGCTAGAGCAAACTGATTACACACTGCATGTGCATCTTAATCCAACCACTAATGCTAATAGGAGTAATAAGTTACAGTTTACTTTTTCTAAATTATAAAGTACAGCAGTTTAGAATTACTGAAATGTGTACAGAAACAGAACAATGCAGTGTAAGATGCTGCATACAGTATACCAGAAATTAGTTTTACTGAACTGATGTTGAAGAGCAAAACTAAAGACATGTATGCACATGATCTAGGCATGCCTGAGAGAATACATTCATTCCAAGACACAGCAAGAAAAGTCTGTTTTGGAAATGTCCAGAGACATAATGGAGGACTGAGTTGTTCTAAGGGAAACACAGGACTGCAGTAAGGTGGGACTTCAACAAGAGAAAGCATTCTTAACTGCGATTGCTTCCAAATGCTTGAAGTGGAAGACTACCACAGAACAGTCCAAGGAATAGCTTCGACAGAACACAAGATTCAATAGCAGCTCTTTACAGAACAGTACAGTGATTATACCTACAGCAGGAGACAAGCAATCTCTCTTAACATCCACTGGGAAGTTGCAGACTACAGCTTGGATAGGATTGAGTGTTCTGGCTATGGCTTACTGCATTAATGCAATACTCCCTTTTTTGAATCTGAAGTGATAGGGAAGAGTGCCTCAACTAGTTTTCATACTTATTAAACTGAACAGGTTTCTTTATAAATACTCTTGTTTAGTTAAATAAGTTCAACAGCTTTGCTAAAATTTATGCATGGTAATAAAGCCATTTTAACAGTTAATACTGCATTTTGTTTTGCTGTAACAGAACAAGTAATCGTTCATCTAAAAGCATTCTGCATATAAACGTAGTAATCCCCTTTGACAGAAATAATTAACAGGACTCCCAACCCCCAATGTATTTGAACACCATACCTTTGAAATAATTGAATACTTAGCATTTATATAGCACCTTTCATCAGAGATCTCAAAGCGCTTTACAAGGGCGGGTATAATCCACTATGTCTACAAGAGAAATATCAGGATTATGTAGCAATATGGATACCTTTCTATGTTTATATGGCAAGAAGGTTTCCTAATGCTGGCAGTCCTGAAAACTAGCTGCCATTGTCTTTCTGTAGTTGTATTTTGTGATCTTTTATAGCAAGTCTGTACAAGTAAAGAACTATAACCTTCCTTCTCTTGGCTAAGCAGACAATATATAGCAAGTGCAAGAATTAGTAAGAAGTTAGTTCCTCTTTTACCTTTCATTATCTTAAGTTTCAGTTTTATACTCTGTCAACATCATCAGGGTAGAGCTTTTTACTTTTTTAATTTTAAGTTAAATTTATAGTTAGATATGGAAAGTAGTACTGAATAATAGTACTAAGTGCTATGCCATCATTAATGCCTTTCACTAGAATGATGTGGTTCTTATCAAGTTTGCTGAACTGTCCTTGGGGATCAGAAGACATTAGAGTTATTAAAATAAAAGGTGGATAGTTGTCCTGATTTTACAAGTGGAGAAAGACATAGAAGATGCCAAAAGTCAATCTTGGAATAAATGGAGTAGCATGCATTAAATGCTGCTAAATATAATTTAATACTTTCTTAGTGACACTTTTGTTCTACCAGACCAGGCCAGACTATTAATTTCTATCCAGTCACAGAAAATGTCTGGCTCAAAGATGGCCTATAAGGAGAAGAGAACTCTGCACTAAGCAATGTTCTCATATTTCTTTTTGGGACATTTCTTAGGTTCTTGTACAGTGCCCATCACTATGGTATCCAAGTATCAGAATTCCAATAATTGAATATTTTCTGCATTAATAAATAGCATCTGATGAAACTTATCAAGTTTAGAATAAAATAAAAGCTCACCAAAATCAGCTATCTTGGCATTCATGTGTGCATCAAGTAGTACATTTTCAGGTTTCAAGTCTCTATGTACAACCATATGCCTGTGACAATAATCCACACCAGAAAGGATTTGCTGGAATAAACGTCTGCTCTCCTTCTCATCAAGCTAAGAAAGGAAAAAAAGCCATTTAAAATACTCTTATCTGTCCAACATTTTTCTTGAATCTGCAAGACATAAGTATTACATTTCCATGCAAGTGTCTTTGGATGAAATAAAGAATGCAACAGATTACACTTAAGTATTTTAAACTCTGGACACTTTACAGATAAAGTAACAGATGGAAAGATGAACTGACTAGCCAATGCCACACAATGATTCAGTGGCAGAGCCAGTAGTAGAACCCAGAATAAATTTTTCTAGCCCACAATGCCTTAAACAGAACACTTTTAAGGAACGTTATCCACTGAGTCAATTACACAGTCAAAACTTGCTTATTCCAGTCAATTTCAGAAGTATGACAGTCAAAGATGTCATGTGATTAAGAACATCTTTAGAACTCTCACATTCACTATTTTTGCTTTATGGAGAAAAAGCATTTGATATATCAGGTTGAAACAAACACCAAAAGTTGTGAATTCAACTTGATCAAAACCTTTATGTAAAGTCATTTTTAACTTTCTAAATTTATAGTCTGCTTTGCACAGATGCAGTAATTTTGACTGATTAAACTTAGTATCACTATTCAATTAAAGAGGCAAGTGCAGTTTCAAATAAGATAAAACTACATTTATGAATGAAATTCTGTAAGTTTAAACTAGCAGACGCCACTTATTAGTGTTAGTTTCAGAGCAAAGTTTACAGAGTTAGAAAAAGGATAGAATACTTTGAGACCCGCTACTGCTAATTGCAAGACTAGATAAGAACAGGCCTTCACCTAGTGAGAAACATTTTTGCAAAAGCGATAAAATGTAATCTACTGTTTTGTAGAGCTGAAGTTCCTCTTACCCTTCCATTTTTACAGATATAATCGAACAGTTCCCCTCCAGAAACATATTCCATCACCATGAAAATGTCAGATGGTGTACTGATGACTTGGTACCTGATAAAGGTAACACATCTATTAATTCCACTGCACACCCACAAGATACAACTAGTTACTTATAATTAAAACAGCATTGGGCTTTGTTAAATTAATTGGATATGAGCTATACCCTAGAACTAAATATTTCCTATATGAAATTAAGTTATTCAGACATCCCTAGCCAGCAGATTAGGAACAGAAGTTTCTCAGGCCTATTAAAAATATTATAACCCCCTTTCCATAACTAAAGAAAAAGCTAAGGAAGAGACAAGTACTTGTTAGAGACGAAGGGCATCACTGATAACACAATATTATTCTTATTGTACAATGAGTCAAACATTTAATATATTTATAAAATACAAGCAGGAAGGGGTTTAAGGAGTTTAGAAGGCATTTAAGGAGATAGAACAGTTGCAGAAAAAGTTAGGAAGCTTACTACAGTAATGTAGATGTGGTTAATTTAACAGTTTGTCTAACCTACTATTCAACATGCTTGGACTTGTTCTCTCTGTTTCCTATACAACATTTGATGTAGAAGTTCTACAGCACACAAAAGCCAGCTATTGCTTCCAGAACAAACAGAAAGACTACATCTCTCTCGATTATTATACATTCTATATTTAGATGAGATGTGACAAGTAGGGGTAACAGTAGGAGATGGTGGATGAAGACAGAGAAGCAGCAAAGTCATGTGGTGATTCAGTTTAGGCATGCCGTATATACTCATGGTACAAATTAACTTCTTGTAGACACAACGGAAGGACTGCAGTGTTTTCTTATAGAAAGATTTCCCAGGGTAAGGGAAAACAAAAAAGTTTCAGCATACCTGGACAAGTTATTCTTGAGCTTCACTGACAAGAATGAGCTCTCAGACCATCTGGGTGATTAATACTTGCTAACTTATACACAATCAAAATACTGAACAGAATATATTTTAATACTCATATTTCTAATGTATCCTGAATTCTGAGGCTCTTATTCTACCTTACGAGACTATTAAGGAAGTTAATTCTTGTTTGATTTAGTTTTACATAGTTTAATTTGAGATATTTCATTTTAGTGACTCATTCTTTATCATTAAATGACTTGTTAGCATCTTACATTACAAAGAAATTCTCTTTAATATACTGCATTATTATGACTTCTGAAGTTATTTCTAAGAAGTAACATTTTAGGAAACACTGGCTTAAACACTTTTGAAAGCTGAGCCTCCCTTAAAGAAAATTAAACAAATTACACCCAGTTTCAATCCCAACACATGGTATCAGGCATACCCAACAGGAGTGGTCATTCATTACAAATATATTGTTTAGATCTGCGTAATATGGTACTACGTAAATGTCAACATTGTTAATTATTTCACTGCTCAAAGAAGATGGGAAGTATCACTGGTCATCCCAGGTACCACGCACCCACTAAAATAAATAGGACAGTTTACACCTCAGAGCTACTGGTTCAGGTGATCTGAAAACTCAGGCCATGTCCACACTACAAGGGCTACAGCAGCAAGCTATGCTGGCATAACTACGCCAGCATAATCTCATAAGGTAGGTACAGCTATTAGCTATTTCACACCCCTTACAAGTATCCATGTCAACCTATGTTTTAAGTGTTGGCCTGGCCTTAGCCGACATCACTGCACCAATTGCACTAGGGTTATGTTTTCAGGGTTAACTTTACAACTGTTACAGCTAGAGATTTGGGCCTGGTCTACACTCTGAATTTATAGCTATGCTGGTATATCATATGTGAATTCCTCTTCCCCCCCACATAGCTCTGCTGGTATAAGCTCTAGTGTAGATGCACTTATACCAGCATAAAAGTGCTTTCGTGGGTATAGTTTATGTCTCCTGGGTAACTGGTGTAAAGCTGTGCTGGCAGAAACACATTTATCCCAATACAAGCTGCATCTATACTATGAAGATTTGTATGGCTGTTTTGTATGACCAGAAAAACTTCCCTAATGTAGACAAGGTCTTACTGTTTTCAAAATATAAAACTCGATTCTGGAAAACATCTGAGACCCTTCATCCTCTGTGCCCACTAGTACTTTATACCCTCTCAGTCTTTTGGGATGTGCCTCACACTTTTGGAAACACTATCTTAAACTAATATTCTAGAGACAGTGAGACCAGTTTGTAGAGAAATAAATTTTATATTGCAGCACCTTAGCCATGAAATTCTCAACCTTTAACGTGTTGCGATTTTAAGATTTGATCAGCTGAATACATGTTTAGAAGCGGAAAGTTGTGGCCTATTGTTAAGAAGGGTCAAGATCACAACAGAGTATATTTCAAATTAAGGCAAGCAATTACTATTTTTTTTTAAAACAGAGAATTTTAATCATTCTTAGTTGATAAAATAAGCTTGAAACCATACTTGACATGGCAACTAAACACTTGGATGGGGAGAAACATTTAAGACTGAGCAAAAAATGGTTAGGAAAAAAGTTTTATATATTATATAAATCATGATAGTGTTGAACAATTTCTTAGAAATAGGTGTGCACTGCAATCTCAGAGTAAAGAAAAGAGGTTTCAATTGTCTAAGCTTGCAGTGTTTTAACTGAGGAAGATTTGGATTTGGGGACGGAGGATTTCCCTGTTTGTCTTCATTACAGATGGAACTCTCTGGTTTTTAGGTGTTACCCTAAACCCAGCTCCAATATAAAAAGCTTCCCATCCAAGCATAGTGGTGCTTAACACCCGAGCTAACTGGTCCATCCTGGGGTCCAGGCTAAAACCTAAATGCTGCTTACACTCCGACTGGAGCCCACACACATTCCAGGATGGATGCAGGCTAAGCCACTTAAGTGCTGATAGTCCTCCAGTGCCTTCCTCCAACCCCCACTCCCACCTGTGACCAGAATGATAGACAAGTTCTCTCACAATTCACTAGGAGAGAACCAGAGCAGCTCAACTTACTGCAGTGCTAAGTACCAGGGGATAGAACCCTACAAGTTTTAATGCCTCATATGAGCAAAAGTACCAGTGTGGATGCCAGTTGACTGCAGGATTGCCCCTCACAGATGAGGCAAGCCAACCCAGGTGCTCATACCTGAAGGCTGATCACTTGAGTTAACTCTGCAGTGGGGACATACCCTTTCAGAGTTCTTCGCCCTTCTATATACTAAAGTCATGTATGCCAGAGATTACTGATTCCCTGGCTCAAAGAAACTTCTAAAGGTCAAACCTACATCTGGATACACCATACTGCACTAAGTAGCATGAAGCTAGAAAAACATTTTAGGGTAGAATAAGTCTGGACCTCCCTATAGAAACTATTCCCCCTCAACTCCACCCCAAATTACTCAGCCATTTTGCAAACAGAAAAATAAGGTCCAATATAACCACTTAATACTAACTAGCAGTTGAGGACAGAAGGGTTATATGTTTATTTCTGTTAGCGATTCCATTTATGAACACTAGCTTATTGAGGAGTTTGCAACCAACAAAGATTTAAGGAAAGATATAATCTCTTCACAGAAAATCAATTTCCTTAAAATGCGTTGCAGCAAAAGCACTGGAAAAAATCCCATATATCTGAAATTGGACAGCTGATGGGGGGAGGGGGAAGAGAGAGTTACTGCTCCAATAAAATGTAACATTGCTCTCTACTTTTAAGTTTACACTGTTATATTTGATATTTTATTTTAAGAGTGTTCCAAGACAACAATGCTAATTACAGAGGTAATAAAAATTAAAAACTTACAGTTTAATTATATGTGGATGTCTAAAAAGCTTGAGGTTCTGAATCTCTCTGCGGATTTTTCCTACTACATCAAGGCTGCGAATCTTCTGTCGATTCAATATCTTCACTGCCACTTTGTGCCCAGTCAGCTCATGTTTGCCAACTGCCAGGATGAAGGGAACAGTCAGTCAGGATTGCCAAGCACAGAAAAATAAATCTCATTTGGAACCTTTTGTGGTCTGGAAACACCCTAGCAAGATTAGAGTATTCCTCCTATCCCCATTATCCTAGAGAAGGTTATAGGTAAAGTTTTGTTTAGAAGCTCCCCCTCCTCTGTACTTGCAGGGTAAGATAAGGAGTCAAGTAAGAAGTACAAGAACAAACCTATACCCCTAATGCACTAGCTTTGTTTAGTCAGGGATTTTGTATGTCTTTCAGGGCCTTGATATTTTTTCATGTGTTCCTGCATTTTTGCTATACCTCAAAGAAGAGAATCCTCAACTGAAAGGCTATTTTGTATTCCCACCATTACCCTTCTTGTTAAGCAGGGATCCCATTGGCCTACTGTGCATAAATCACTTAAGCTTTTTGGCTGATTTGCTTGCAGGCCCATACTTCTCTGGAGCTATCAACTTGAAAGTCTGCTCCCCCCACATTCTCCCAGGAATGTTGTTCTTCTGCCACTAATCAGAGTCTTAGGTTTTTCTCCAATTACTTTCTACATACAGTTATTGCATACTTTATGCTTCATCAGTTACTTTGAAGGTTTTTTAGCAGTTATTCAATCACAATTACAGTTGGCAATTAAAGTCTATTTAACTACACTTCAGTCCATCTGACCCCATATACAATTTAGAATAGTTATTTTACCACTACTTATTTACAGCACAAAACACACAAATTAGTGGTAACATACATAAAAGAAATATTGGTAATGTTTTGGGTAATAAAAATAACCCAACCACCAAGGAATGGTTCAAAAAATATGGAAAGTTGTGAAAAAGTTAACAAACCAATTACAAACTCGGCAAAAAAGACAGAAGACAGATAACTAAATATCAAAGTAGTTTTTAAAATACTGAGCTTAAAAAATGCTGAACCTTTATTTTAACTGGTAACCCAATATTTTTTCCCCAGTTCAGGTTTAGTAGATAGGACAAAATTATGGTTCAGGTTCAATTTATAATACCAGTTCAAATTGGTTCTCTGGTTCAACTCCCTAATCCTTTGTCAGATTATACTGGATAAATAGTGAGTAGAAGCTATGGGAAAGATTGCAGTATCTTCATCTCCTTTTAATTTATTGAACAAAAACAGCCTGTAAGAATTTGGAAGTTAAACAGTGAAGTTTAATCTTACTAAATAGCTTATTATTCTAATGTATTGATTAGTCCTTCCCCTAATTCTGCTGCTCAAGTCTTTCTTCCTCTTAGGGCTTTTCACCAGCTCTTGCTCCCCATTTCCCTAGATGTTTCCAACAGTTTCTAGAGAGGCCAAGAACTCTTGCACCTAGCACCAGCTTTTCCTTTATGCCACGTGGTACTTCCCAGTTTTTCAGCTGCTTGCGGTAGAACTTGTATCATAGCACTCTTGAAAATTTCTAGTGACTCAGCTGTTGTTCCCTGACACAGCAGCACCTCTCATATGGTCCAGTAGCTCAGTTAAGTGTGGTGGGCAGCTCTCCCTGGGGTAGGAATAGCAGCAAGATCTTGGTGGTTGGCATTATTACTTCCTGACATCTTAACCATATTACTTTCAAAAGATCAGCTCCTACCTGGTTCCAGCCTCACTGCTCTACCTTTCCTACCTTCTAAAGGGTCTGGTAAGGCTATATCTATACTAAAAGTGGCATGTACAGTACAGGCACTACGCATGTAGCTACACAATACAGTGAAAGGCTCTGGTGGGGGGAGGCAGCGGGGGGAGGCTCCTGTGGCTCCCTGCTGCTGGAAAAGGCTCTAGCAGGAGCCAGATAACTCAGTTTTATTAATAATCCTGTGTGAGATATATTAACCTGTCCCGAAACTGCCTGTATAAGAGTGAATGGATTAATTTTCAAAATCCTTGGAGGCAGGGACTTCAGTGTTTCTACACTTTAAACCATACTATTACTACTTTAGTTACATGGCAGGGTTATTTTGTAAGATTGTGACAGACCATTAAGAAAACCTCAAAGTAGTATTACATATAATACACCTCTACCCCGATATAATGCTGTCCTCGGGAGCCAAAAAAAACACAAACAAACAAAAACACTCTTACCATGTTATAGGTGAAACCGCGTTATATCGAACTTGCTTTGATCCGCCGGAGTGCGCAACCCCCCCCCCCCCCCCAGGAGCACTGCTTTACCGCGTTATACCCAAATTCGTGTTATATCGGGTCATGTTATATCAGGGCAGAGGTGTATCTGCTGCATTAGTCAGCACAGCAGAACCAACATGAAGTATGGAAGCATAACCAGAGCATTAGGACCACAAATGTCAGATGGGAAAGCTTTCCAGGTGTGTAAGCTTTCACCCTGTAAGTGCAGGATCGTTCCCTGTTAGGATATTACCATCTCATCTTGGTCTTGCAAAGACAACTTATGCAGCTAGTAGGGATGAAAAAAGTTAACTGACCCATAGAGGGAACAGTCCACTTTCACCAAGTCTACAATAAAAATGATATAATACAGCAATAAAGAGTCAGAGGAAAATTACAGTTCTTGGAGCATTTGTCCACAAAGATCCTACTATAGGTTGTCCATCAACTTTTTAGCCAGCAGTGTCCACTGAGGCTGTGCACATATCTCACAACAAGGTGTTATTGGGGTTCAATTATTCTATTGAAAAGTCCTCCGATAACCCAGGCTCAATCAAAAATAGATCAGCACAATGCAGAAAGGTCATTACTTTATAGGGAGAACAGTTTCACAGCACTTACATCTTTCAGTCTGTCCCAAAGTGCAAGCTCAACTCTATTCATATATATTCTCCAGTTTACAACAGACAAGATTTTAATACATTATCCAAGATTTACACACCAGTTCTTACCGGTTTCTTATCTTCTTTTGAAATTAGCTCTCCAAAAGTCAAAGCTTATCTGCACTAGCTGTAACTTGGTACAGCATGCATGTTGGTTAAGCAACAAGATCTTTTATCTTATCCTATCTTTCTGGTATGTTTCTGAAACTAGCACAGAAATTACATTTTACATTTCCCCTCAGTTAAACAACTTAACAAGAGAAAAAGACATTCTTGGAAAAACTTAACATTAACACAACTCATAGCTAAACAATTTAACATAGATCTATCACATTTTCAGTATGTTTTGTACCTTATTTGCTTACTACTAAACACTTTCTTTTCTTAGTTGCACAACACACCTTAGCCAGTCAAACAAGTAGTTACAACAATAAAACAATTCACATTTTTGGTGAATACATCTCCTTCCAGCCCTTAGTACAATTCCATTCCTTATCTGGTAAAACTACCAATACAGCATTACATTAACTGTAGCTTTACAAGCTAGAAGATACAAGTTTTTCACTTCACTTATGGCCTAGCCATAAAGCATAATGAGACTCTGATCAGTATTGTCAACAGTATTAAGAGAAGGACATCCCCAACTGCCACTCAGTTACTTCTTACCACCTGAGTGCCCAATGTCCCATTTCCCCATAGCTCTTAGATAGCTTAGGATTATAATTAGCTTAGTGTTGTTTGATAAATTAAAGCCAATTGGGCTAAAAAAACCTCAAAATCAAATGTTATTCCTCAGTGGATCTACTCCTCAGTACCAAGGCATGACTAATGGTGCAGAGCAAGTTCTCAGACTTTATAATGTGCCCTGTATCAGAGGCTGCTGTAACTGTTAATATACACACTGATGCTTGGTTGGTTTGTCTAGGGATGTGACTCTTCCCAATGTGCCATTTGTAGCTTCTCTCCCTTCCTCCCTCCTCCCCCCCAAATGCCCACAGATGGGTTGTTCTCCCTTCCCTCCCCCCCCCCCCCCCAAAATGCATACAGATGGGTTGTGATGCATGTGAAAAATTATTTTAGATGGAGAAATCTATGCAGTGTGTCTGACTCAAAGGAGCAGCTGTTGTCTGCTGTGAAACCAACTTCAAGTGCCCCAACTATATGGATGTCACTCCAGAAAATAAAATCTGCTAGTCAAGAAAACTCCGGCTGCTGGGAAACAGAGTTCATTCACCATCCCTCCTTGGGTCAGGCAGTAGCTCCTGCTGCCTAAGACAGGAAAGATCACAGATCTCCTGGTGGAGCTTAGAACCAAGCCAAGAAGAGAACAAAGGTTCATCGTGCTCATGTACCAAAATCAACACCTTCGAAATCACATTGGCACAGAGAGCCTAAGACTGAGAGATCGCATCTCTTACCTTTTGTACCACTTCCTGCTTCATCAGTGATCAGCATCACCTCCTTGACAACATCGTCATCTGCACAATTGGCCTCAGTTACCAGCACTGCAGTCTGACAAGACTTTTTCCAAGACTGTATTTCTAGTACTGATGGTCCTGGTTCTACCTTCATCTACTAAAGCTGCATTTACATCATAGGTGGACATTATGATCACTGATGAACCAGAGTCTTCATTGTTGGACACATCTCTTATCACGTGTTCAGGGTTCTGTTGGTATGGGAACCTAGAGGTACCAAACATAAATCCTTCCCTGTCTAGTCTCATCAGTATGGGTAGCTCCCTCACAGGCTTTAAAAATCAGAGACTTTTCTGGTTTCCACTCCACAGATACCTGCACCTCCATTAGAGGAGCTTTACTTTTCAGCATCCTCTGATCCTCATGATAGGAGTGCATAGGAGGCATTTGCCCTAACACAGACTATTTCCTGAGAGTGCTCCTGTCAGAAGTTCTCAGCACAAGCCTCATGCTCCAGAGAGGTCTCCCACTCCATGGTTCCCTCCACTGTGGCACTCCTTTATGTTCTTCCTTTATGGGAAACTGATCCAGCCCTATTAATCTCAGAATCTCATAGCCTCTACTGCTTGTTCCTTATTCTACTTCAAGGTCCAATAGTAAGATTGCCTCCTCCTAAAAGTTCTGCTAGGGAACCTCAATCTGTCCATCAGAAATAACTACAACCTGCAGACCACAAACATCTTAGTGAAGAGGAAGACCTTGTGGAAGAATATGAGGCT